ACTGCATAGAACTCTGGGATAAAAAAGTTGGGGGTGGGGGGTGTTACAGAAGAAGAGCTTCTGCTGGAACAGTTTAGATTGAAGTACAAGTGGGCTCTTCCACTTTTAGCCTGGAGTGGCTTGTATTCCTGGGATTGCATGGTTCACAGTTACGCCCCCCTGCCACCTCCCTTTTTCTGTCAGGGGTAAGGAGCTCCTGTGTGCTGCTGGCAGGGTGGGCCATTCCCTTTTCTGGCTGGCTGGCTTGGCTCCTCTCACGCTGCAGTACTGCATCCCCAGAGCCCCTTCCTGCAGCCTGCCAAGTGAAGCACTGCCTTGCCACCTCACCTGGACATCCCCTCTGGGGAAGCCATCCCTGGAGGGGAGCATCTTTCAGTTTCCTGCTCGTTAGCCTCAGGAGCCTGTTGTCAGCGGGACATCAGAGCTGGAGGCTGTCAGCCACGTTCCTGAGCTCCCACATTGTGTTCCACACCCTGGTTTCATCCTTTCTTCCAGAGGGGTGGTGGCTGTCCTGTTCCACCTTGTTGCTGCGCACCCACAGTGAGGAAACTGATGGTAGGAAGCAAGATCCTGCCACACAGAGTGGTGTTTGGCTATCTGAGGTGGAGCCTTTTTGTCACTGCGCTCCACTGGAATAAGGTGGGACCAATCCTGACAGTCCATAGGTCAGAATAAACGCATGCTAAACACAGAGGCTCACTATTCCTAACGCCATTAAAGTTTTGCTGTGAATTTTGTTTGCACTATTAAAGGTTTTTCTTTTCCCCCTCCTGAGGTGACAGCAGTGTGTGTGTGTTTATTCGTAAGTCTGTCATGCTTCTGGGAAAGTATTTTGTATTTAATTGTAGAAAATTATACTTAAGAAAGACCATGGTACCTTAAGCTTGGGCTGCTGTTACGTTCTGTGATGATAAACTGTGAAGGGGGCCTTTTTTTGGTACTTTCAGCACTGTTACTAAATAAAAAACGAGCTACTTAGCTTTGCTTTCTCTGTGACGGGCTGGCTGGAACCTTTGCTTACCCAAGAGCAGTCTGTGCAGACTGCAGTTGTCAAGGCTGAGATAGGCAGCACTGGTTTCAAATCATTCCTCGCCTGGCTGCGCTTCGTTTTACACCTGTGTGTTGCTTTCAGTGTGAGGTCCTGGTCTCCCGCTCTCCCTGACAGGAGCGGACGGGGTGGAACGTGCAGGAACAGGAATACCGTAGGTTTGGAGTTTGGGGGGACGCCGAGAGCACTGCACTCTTACATCTTGCTGTGTTCCAAAAACTGTTTCAGCGTTTCTCAATTTACTTGGTAAGGAATTTATGCTTAACTCCATGCGAGAATATCTAGGTTTGCTAGCATCAAAATTGGTTAACTGTTGTGTTCACAGTCATCTCTTTGTTTTAAAGAACTCCAGTTAAGCTTTGGGAAAAGCGTGTTGTACTCTGACACGTGCAGGATACCAGAATGAAGGCAAAAAGACGCCACCCTTGCATCGCTGGGAAAGCCAGAGCTTTATTTTGTGATCTGTCGTACATTACGTTAACATGCCAGGGATTTAGCATTCACGTCCTGGGGTTAGAACTGTGTGTTAGCTCCAAATCCCCACACATCTAGGGAAAAGCAACCAGTGGCAAGAGGAAATGTAGTGCAAGCGTAAATGCCTTTCATCCACTGTCTGTAAACTTCGAGGAGGATAGATAGTGGCCTGGAATGTTTCGATTTCACTGCATCATGCGAAGAGTAGGATTAAATGCAGAACTACCTGTTTTAACTAGATAGTGGTTCTTCCCTGCTTTCTCTCCTGGATTGGACAGCCTAGGATAGCAGGCTCCATTGCGCCCGTTCCAACTCCAAGGAGGGTCTGATATGTTCCTTGTGGTCATCAGTGCTGTTTCTCAGCCGTCACTAGGAATGGGTGAAAGCAGCATACCAGTTTCTCTTCCGGTGGGGCTGTGGGTGCCTTGGCAGTGTACACAGGTTGGATTGACGGGGAGATGCCACCAGGGATGGGGATAAACTGTAAGGTGCTGACGTGGCAGTGACACGGTCATGCTGTAAGTAGTGGGGTGTCATCTCCTGTCTCAGTACTGGCAGGGGCTAAATAAAGGCTTACACAGTGACCGCAATGCTTACCTCATCGAGCCGCCTGTTTATTGTCTGTCAGTCTGGAAGTAGGTTTCCCAGACTGCTTAGCACTAACAACAGGACGGTGAGTTTCCAAGACAGCCCCAAGAACTGCTGCCTTCTCATGAGTTTGCCTTTTTCTCTAGTCTGTGAACCACGTGAAAGGCCTCTAAAAATTCACTGAAGTCAATGTGGCCATCTTTGTTGTGGTCTATGCTGAGGACTAACTTGTCGAGGGACTCGTCATACACATCGATGCCCAGGTGAGAAGTGAAGAGCTTCCATGTCTGGCCAAACTCCTCAAAAGAAATCAAGCCTAAAGGAGACAGACAGCAGATGATGGCTTTTTTCCAGTGCCATTTCCCCCCTCCTACGTACATGCGTGCGCACTCCTTCGCTGCAAGGAAGTTACCTGCCTACTGTAGCTTGAGCGTAAGTGAAGGACATTTTTAGTTTGGTTTAACGACCTAATGCTTTCAGCAGTGGAACTGAGAAGGCAGTAAATACTGAGTGAGAGTGGAAGGAGAAAAAGCCCCCAAAAGAGTGAAGCCAGTACAGGAGAGGGGATATGTGTGAATTTTTTCTCAAGTTAGGCCCTGTGAGCTGTCCCTTATATGGTGACAGCCTGACTGCTTAAATTAGTCTTCACTGAAGTAAAAAAATGACATCACCTCTGGTTCCTCTATGTTTAGAAGGCTTAAGGAAGAAATGCAGTGGGGAAAGATAGCTAGTACAGGCTTCCTAGAGCGGGTACAGTGAAGTTACCTTGACTTACCTGAGTGATCTTTGTCGATGATGTTAAAGATGATCTCCAGATCCTTTCTGTATCTGCACAGTGTTTCCACCAGAGCTGGCTGAACCTGGTTTTGAAATCCCACACAGGAAAACTGTTCAGACCTTGGTCTGAGTCTAACCAACAGAATGTGTGCTACCCCAATCTATGTTCCCTGTTTAACTTCTCAAATGTTTAAAAAAAGATCCTTATGCTCAAGTTCCCCAGAATGATACTTTGTGTCTTGCCCTGACAGATAATCAGCTAAAACCTGTCATTTTCAGATGGTGGGGCATGGGGGAAGGAGCCCTTCACACCTCCTACCTTCAGCAATTATTTGTGGAAATATGGATATCTAGGGAGCATGCTGCACACTCATACAAAGCTTTCACTGTACCTAAGTGAATGGATCCTGCTGCTCAGGTAAAAGATGGGGACAGTGAAGCACCAAAGTGCTGTGCGGCCACTCGGTAATAACTGGCTCTGGAGAAGAGACCTGGGTGACCATCAGACATCTAAAAGTCCACCTACAAATGCGACTCCCTCCTGCAGGGGCCTGAGTTGGCTCTGAAGCGCATCTGAAAAGCTCCTCTCAATGAGCGAGGGTTGAGTGCTTTGGGTAGGTTTTGTCACATCTCCCCAGCTACGTTATCTAAACGCCCTTGAGAGCCAACGGAAAGTAAGAAGCAGTTCTAGCATGTGATTCATCCAGCCTATTTTAAGCATCTACCTTAGCAGGGAATGATGATTCGTACCCCAACAGTGCTCATTTCCCTCCAGTGACTATAAAAGGAAGCTCAGCAACTAATTCAGCTGGAGCTGTCTACCTGATTGGCGAAACCACTGTCTTACGCCTCGAGTTGCACCAAAAGCTGTTCCTCCCAGATTTGCAAAGAAGCGTTTTTTCCTCCTTACCTCTTTATTAGGTTGACCTATTTTCAAATCGTAAAAACATGACATGAAGTCAACTTCTCCGTCTGGGTTCGTCTGTGCTAGCTGAGACCGCAGCATCCTCCAGGGCAGTTCCAGCTGTAGGACAGACTCCATCGCCGCAGCCCAGTCATTGACAGAAATCTTGCCTGCCAGAAGGGGTCAGTTCATGGTTACAAGCGGCACGTGGCAGAGAACACATCAATCACCAGCATGCCATCTGCCATTTTTAAAAACTGTTGCAAAATATAAACATTTTCTCCTAACCTGGGGATAAAAACCCTTCTAACAGTGAGCAGCAGGGTTGGACTAGACATTTCCAAAGGTCCCTTCCAACCTCAACAACTTTGTGATGCTATTATGATGTCCAGTGTGTTTTAATGCCTTTTTTTTTTTTTTTTTTTAATGCCAAGAAGAGTACATCAGATTTGAGTGGAGCTGCAGCTAGAGAGACCTACGTTGCTGGAAATGCAACAAGGAAATATGTTATGCAGCTGTTTGATGGGCAAAAAACCAGTACCATCACTTACTGATTGCCCTTTTAGGGACACCGTTGGCAACCCAGTCAAGTGAGAAGCCATCATGAGGAAAAGTTGTATCTGTGCTAGAAACCACTAACTCCTTGCTCCTATGTAAAACGTTCAGGTATCAATTTACCACCGACTTTTCTTCAGCTGAAGAGTGAGCGTGGCGTGTCTCCTGGCAGCATAGCCAGTCAACTTCACTCAGACAGAAGGAGACCAGTTCCCCCTCACCTGAGACTTCGATTTCCTGTCTGCCATCTGAAGACATCCCTAAGTAAAGGTTAGGTTCACTTGGGTTCTGGAGCTGGATTTGCCTGCCCAAAGTCTCTGCCCCACAACAAACACCATTTCCTTGTTTGCCCATGTGTTTCAGTTATTTTCTTCTACCTACTTAAAGCTTCATCCCCTCAAGTTGTTTTCTGAGGCTAAGAGCTTCTTAACACCTATCCTGCCCTGTGGGCAGGAAGAACCTAAGATCAGCCAGCCTCTGCTGCCCTCCAGCCTTACACTGGCAGGCAGGGCATTTCTCCGTAGGGTTTGTCCCCTCTGCATCCACACACATGTGGAAGCTGTTTTCCCTGTGGTGGCAGCTGGACAGAGAGGTAGTGTTACCTGTGCCGTTGAGGTCATACTGCGCAAAAGCACTAGTGAGTTCAGACCTGTGAGCATAAATCTTCTCTCGTAAGGACTTTAAGGCAGATGACTCAATTGTACCCACCCTAGGTGGAAAAAGACACAGAGCAGGTCATTAAAGGATTTAAATCCTCTAGCACCTTATGCTTTTCAACATTCATTATCAAATTCTTGTATCCTTTAACATGTTGTATGTTTAGGGTCACCAAGAGACAACAGTGTGTGTGGGGGGGGAAACCCAAACCAACAAAACAAACAAAGGCCCATAAGAATAATCTGAATTTAGGAGATAATCTAGTTTATGCAGGTAATTCTAAGCTGCTTTGCTTCAGTAAATCTGACCACAGTGCTAGGCCTGGCAAAGCTGTGATGATAAACTTTTTGGACTCATTCATAACAGGATTTGTGCAGATTAACGCTGCAGCCTCAAAGCAGACGTGACAGACAGGCGCAGGCCCTTTACGAGTCCCTGACAATTGTCTGTTCTAACCGCTTACCACGTCTAATTACCTTTGGGAGTTTCTCTGGAAACCAAGTTGGAGTACTTAGAACATGTTTTGGCCACTGTATTAAATTTGCAATTGTAAAGGAGAAAACCAAGGAAAATAGGTGCCTATTAAATTATCCAGTCGAAGTATAGATTCGTGTATGCTAAGTGCATATACGCTCACTGCATACAACGCAGAGCTTTACCTCTCCTGAAGATTCTGCCTGCGTGTGTGCTTGCTGACTCGATACTGTACGAACCGAGGGATCAGTTCAGGATTCAGTTTGATGTATGCTCCCCGGTTGCTCCCCTCTTCGTAATAGTTAGAAGCAGAAAATATAGTGATAACCTAATCATAGGAAACAAAAACGGGTTGGCTAGAAAACTCCTTGGGGCTGATTTATGAAACTGATCTGAGACAAACATGCAGGTTACAAAACGAAGTGTCTGTGCATAAAAACAGGGATCAACAACTATGTCGTCCACCAAATTGCTTGCAGTTTTCGAGTCAGAGCTCCAGGCCTGTATTTTTGGCCTGCCATAGGAAGGCTTCAGTTCAGAGGGCAGTGTTTAACATGGCATTAAACAGAAACCTCTTTCTAAGATTGCCCTGGTTTTCAGGATCCTTGCTGGCCTTCTGATACAGCACGTCAGAAAGCAGGGCCAGAAGAGAAATGATGAAGCTAAAAGGCTTCTAGAGCCTTAGAGCGTCTCTTGCACTGTATTTACACATAACCCTCCTCAGGGATTCTGTTGGTTGTTGGTTTGTTTTCACATGAGTAATAAGCCAGTCCCTACTCCCTGGAGCTGTAAGGAATTTTGTCTGTCAGAAGTCCACAATTCATTGTAACACCTATCTAGCACACAGTTTTCTCAAACCCATTTTTAAGAAGTCACTCGTGTTTTTAGTTAACTTTGCAGACAAATCTACTGCAGATTTGCCTGTGAAATTCACAGGAGAATTCTGTTCTACATGGAAGCATCTTACCTTCCCATCATGACTGATCTCATAACCTTCTGGCTTAAATTCATGAGACCTGATGAGCATCTTCAGATTATACCTTTCAAACAGCTTGGCAGTGACATCAGGGCCAAAGTAACAACCTCCTCCTCGGCACTTGTTCGGTGTACAGCCATTTTGGCTTCTTGGATCACTCCAGAGAATGTCAAGGATCTGTAAATAGCAAACTCCAGCAACTGAGGACTGGTAGCAGGTGAGGGCTGACAGGCTATGGCTAATGTACTGCCATGGCAAGGGCCCCACAGTACAGGGAGAAAACACATCTGAGCTAGCAAGTAGGCCTCATGTTTTCTTCCCTTCAGCAGGGCATTCAGCATTGGGCTTGAAACTTTTGTGCTTCTTTTCTTAAGAAACATTATCTAGATTCTGGATGACCTTTTTCAGATTAAATACTCTTTCAGAAATATACCTATTTTACAGCTGAAGTTTCCAGACTCGGGCAGGCGCATCAGGAATGGTACCTGGTACCTGGGCTATCTCAGAGAGTGCAATAGCTGCTGCCTTTGCATGTAGGCATTTTCTGTTTCCCAGCACAGACCAGATAACAACAGAGATGGGTGGTTTTACCTAAACCAAGCGTGGGACTGCCTGTTCTAAACACAAGAGTTGCCTTTGACTTTGTCCTGGGCTAGCTCATGTCTCAAACCAAGATTTTACAGATACGAGGATGAATTATCATGGTTTAAAGTCACCCAACCTAATAATTCTAGTCAGCAGCAAACATTAGGCAAAAATGTGTTTGTTTAAACCTCACTGGACAAGGTTCACACTAACATGTTCCACTTCACATTTGTGAGCAGGATCAGTGGACGCTTGGCTATCTGGGGGAATTTGAGGAGTTGCTTGTGCCCATTACATTAGTTTGTAGGTCAGATATGTATCTTGGGAAATCACGTTTTCAGAGCCAGATTTGCTTCTCAAGAAGCAAACCAAAAGTGCATGTCCCTAAAGCAGCTGTCTGAAGAGAAGCTCAGAAAAATAAACATACACAACTCAACATTGGGCTTCTAAATTGCTGCGCAAATTAAACTTTTCAAATTGTCACGATTTATTAAATTACAGTATGACGAAATGAACAGCCAGAGGACAAAAAATTCCCACTCTTGAGTACTCAGACGGTAAGTGTCAGAGTTGGGTGTTTTTTTGACAGTATCAGCATTCAGCTGCCAAAACCACAGTCGAAAAAACAAGCTTCTCGCTGTCGCCGACAACTGCAAAGTGTGACCTATTTAGAGACAACCACGTAAGTACCAACAGATCCAACCACATGAGGGCACGCAAACACACCTCATAGCGACCAGCGTCCTCCTCCTAGCGGCTAAGAAAACAGTGGGTAAGTTGTACTTGTAAGGTCTAAAATCACAAGCCTTTATTACCAGGTCTACAAAAAGCATCCTAAATAACTAATAGCTGGCTAGTACACTACCCAGAATGATGGGTTTCTTATTAAGAGACAGTTCCCTTAGAGTCAAATGTAGTGCCTGAACAGAGCGCCTGCCGGGTTTGTGCAGGAGGGGCTCCCTATCAGCCCGTCTTTGGTTTCACTTACTTGTTTCCATTCCTTCAGGGCGGGGTCTGGAGGCAAATTTGAGCCTGAAGGCTCAGTGGAGCCCGATGAAGAGATGCGTTGCCTTTTCCCTGCAACGTTCTGGTTGGCAATGTGTTTACTGGGTCTGGTGGTGGGAATATTCTCCTTCACTTGGTCCTGTCTATCTGTCACTGACTTCGGTGGCCGCATCAAAGACTTCAACTTAAACAAAAACAAAATTGAAGGAGTTACCAGAACATAAAGATGATACAGAGATGTCAGCCGGAAAGCACATCAGTTCCCGTTTCCTGTACTCAATACTGAACTCTCATAACATCCCAAACTCACAGGTTTAGTGGAAGCTATAGGTGTCTGGCACTTGCAGCAATTTTGCTTTCTGCCTATCAGTGGCCAGTCTCTTCAGAGCTGCTCTCCTATTCTTACCAAGACACACAGACTCATGCAAACCACAAGGTCTCACTATACAGCAAGTACGGTTTGGGCACAGGGCAGACACTTAAGTGTCTGCACTGGACACTGAAAATACACAGGTCTCCCTGACTGAGGATGGAACAGCACTCACTACCGCTCTGATACAGTAGCATGCTGCTAAGTTAATTAGGCTAAAATAAATGGAATAACAGGAGGATAACAGTTAAATCGATCAATTAATTATTACATCAGGCCCTTTTGTTGTTAAATCAACCTCCTCTAATATGCATGGGCATTTGCTTTTTTGGAGCTGTGTGCTATGGCTCCATGAATGCCCATTACTACCGACTCTTCTCCAGGGAGTATCTTTTCTTCTCATTTGAAATTTTCTCATTCAAGCACATTTTTTGAACAAAAAGCACGCACACACACACCCAATTCTACACATTAACAAAGAAAAGGACTGATGCAAACCAAAATGCAAACCACAGGGTTATTCCCCAGGGCACTGACCAGACTCTGAGACCTGTCAGTTGTTGGCTGTACCAATTAAAATACGTCAGTTGGCCTTGAGTGATGCTGCCCTGAGTTGTGGCCTGCACGTGTCTCATTAGCAACGTTCTCCCGTGGCAGCAACTCTGACCTGTTAATTCTGCGTTTCACAGACTGCATCAGTAACAGGTTCAGCTCAGCCTTGGTGAAAGCCTGGGCAGAACTGAGCTCACAGTTAAGACACCCACATCTGTAGTTAGGCACCCAGTTATAGTGTACAGTGATATAGCCAACAGAGCCTAGACTCCAATGACCAAAAGTATTCATTGCCCTTTTTCACACCTTTAGGAAACAGAGATACACCTGACTGTCCTGTAAAGCATTTATTTCTCTATTAGAAAACATGAGGATGAGAGAAATAGCTCTAGATTCCTCAGGCACTAATGACAAGGCACACAAGGTCGCTTAAACATAGGTATCTTATGCCTTCTGGGATGCTCTACCATGTCTGTGAGTTAGTGTGAGGTGGGCAGATAATGAACCAGACCTGAAGAAGACTGGGGGAGGAGACCTGCGAAGACGACTTTCTCCAGAAGCAGCCAGAGGGGACATCCCTCAGCTACAGGATGCTTCCACAAACGGCATTAGAGATCTATGTTTGAACAATTACAAAATCTGGATCTCCACCACATCTCCTAGATCTCCTTTTATTATAAGGAACCTAAGCACCCCACTCACAAGGAGACATCTAAGTTTAGTTTTCCAAACCTCACACCATTTTCTACTGATTTGAAAGAGCTGTGTTTGCTCACCACTTCTTAAAAAGCAAACAAACAAAAGAAGATGTTTCTGTCTTCTACATCCCTGAAAAGTAATAGTTTCTGTTTCCTCAAGTCCTGAAGTTTGATCCCGGAAAGGCTCTCCCACATGCACAAAGCTCAGCTGCTGCCAAAGAAGCACCTCACAGGTGGAGAACTTCCCCCCACACCGGATGGCAGAAGCACAGCCCGAGGACAAAAGGCAGTGCTAAAAAGATGTGGCTAGGTTGTAGTATTTCTAAAGTGGTTAGAAATGCCTCAGAATTACCTACTCTTTATACTTTCTGGCTAATGCATCATCACTGCAGGAAAGAGGTATCTAAAGCGTTTTTAGCTATTTTAAAGTCCAAAGACCCATGTCATTTTACAGCTGCAAAACAATCAGCTCTCACACCTTCCTTCCTAAAAACTGAAGGAAAATGACTCTTTTTTGCCTGACGTGCTTTATACAGCAGCCATTTCCTTTCTTAATGCAAACAACTTGGTCTTAGCGTTTCTACTGCTAAATTTTTTAAGGAAAACAAAATTATCCGTACATGCATATGACCTCTTACCTTATTTCTCTCAAGTGTATTCAGGAAATCCAAATCTGTGGTGTCTGAAATCCCTCCGTGTAGGATAAGAACTTTGCTATCAACTATAGTGGCGAGGGGAAGCCAGCTAAAGACTTCACGCAGAAGACACAAAATCTGTTTCCCGTGGTCCTGTAAAACACACTCCTGTATTAGGTCCTATTTCTGGCAGATTCTGTTCCTTCTAAGTTCAAGATTTCGCTGAAGTGTCTGGCACAGTCTGTATGAACAGTCCTGTCCAGGCGACAGCCCGAACTGCAACACTGACAAACGTGTCCCAACTATTACTTCAGGCCACTTGATTGTCTCTACAGCATTTCAGTTTTCTTTCACGCTCACCTCTTCCTGTGTTCTTGAGTGGCCTTATGAATGTTATTTATTTCATCCCACAGATCTCTGAGCATAAAAGGCTAGCACTTAAAATTGTTTTGCCAGTTATGCCACTGAAAATCCAAAATAATTTCAACTACATTGCTAAAGTCATTCTGTACTACACCTAAATAAATTGGTTGGAAGTTTCCTTGTTTACACAGGTTTCATTTTGCATGTGCAAGGCTACAAAGAATATACAGGGGAAGGAAGAGGAATCTCACCTTGTACTTCTTTGAAACTTCTTTTGTGAAGCCATATCTGAAAACAGAACATCGTGAACTAGTTTTCCATGTGTCCCTTCTGCACGATTTTCTATAGCATTTGTAGAATTTTTCTATTCCTCTTTTTCTCCTGCCAGTCTGTCTTACCCCTGTTTAAACGTGGTTTCTTCTGCTCAGTCTCAAGAATTACGTTAAGCTGATTTCTTGTACATACAAGAGACCAGGAACAGAATCCAGACCAATAATTATTAAGTGGCCTTTTGCCCATCTAAATGAAATAGCTTAGCAGTTTTACCTTTTAGATACCATAAAGAAACTTCAAAGGAACCTAACTGAGGATGGGCAAATATTGCCACAAAATTTCCACCGAGTTTTGGTTCTAAATCACTCAACTTTATTAGACAGTGTTGTCTCTCATGTCTTTTCCCCCCACAAGGGACAAGAATTTTGATACCTCGTCCTGTTAACACCAAGATATCCTTGATTCAGTGGGTATTTTCACAACACCCTAACTCTCAGCTTTCAAATTTACCAGTGTGCAGCACTGATAATCAACATGCCTGGCAAAGAGCCATACACAGGAATGCATCTTTGCACTCCATACCATCACAGACTTAGCATTTTCCACTATTTTTCATGGGAATTGTCCTACCTTGTAGATAAAGTAACTGACCTTGTTTCCTGGATTTTTTTTAAATTAAGTGCTGAAAAAGGAACTATCATGTGATACTTCTGATGATTCTCTTACATGGATCATTAACAGGATTTGAACCTGGGCCTCTAACCTGGTTTTATGCCTGGGCTAAAGAACAATATATTTTGCGTGCACTCATCAAATGACAGAAGGGGTACAACCAGTTACCCACCAGTCAGTCATAGAATCATAGAATGGTTTGGGTTGGAAGGGACCTTAAAGACCATCTAGTTCCAACCCCCCTGCCTTGGGCAGGGACACCCTGCACTAGACCAGGTTGCTCAAAGCCACATCCAGCCTGGCCTTGAACACATCCAGGGATGGGGCATCTTCAAGTCACCAGATGACTTACTGGAGTAGCTGAGAATTGTAGGGACCAGGACTGAGTTCTTCTTCTCACATCTGAGAGAGAAAGATTTTGTCTGCAAGTCACACTTTCACTGCAGCCAGAGACACTGGCTGTGCTCACGCCCTTGGCAGTGCTGTACAGTTGAGTACAAATACCTGTATTAGAAACCAGGGTCTCAGCTGTCCCTGCAATGGGGTAGACTGCCACCTCTCAACTAAAGGACCTCCACAGCGTAGAAGCGTAGAAGGATATTTACCCACCCCTTGTGTTTGGGAAGTGACATCTTAGTCTAAAGTTAAGCCAGCTCCTGGTTTACTGGTTCCATTACACTGCATACTATTACGTCTTCTGCTATGTTGTGGAAAATGCCAATGCTTTAACTTCAATATAATCCTTCCATCTGTACCCTTTCCCCAAATCTGGTACTCTGGAAGCTCCAGTAAGCTTACTGACTTCAATGGATTGTGATTAGGTCAGAGACAAGACTCCCATGTGTGTGCCTGTGTGTAATGAGGATGTTCTTTGCCCCCCTCACACATCTTGAAGATGCAGAACTAAACCTGAAAACCTAATAAAACCTTATTTCTGTTTTAGTGTCACAGTGGCCAAAGCAGCATTCAAAAGCTCAAACACTTCTAGTGAAAGGCCATTTACTCCCTCCCTCCCCCCATCCCTTAAAATCTACCTCAGGTTCATGATGTAATCTTCATGGTTTCCTCTATTCAAGTGTAAATCATTGGGGTAGATAAGAAGAAATGCAAACAGGATTATAAGTATTTCCATAGAATTTTTCCCTCTGTCAACAAAATCACCATTAAAGACATAAGGGTTTTGTTCTGAAGGCAGACCATTCTGCAGAAGAAAACAAAACCAAAAACATTTAGAGATGCTTCCATGATACTCTAATAAAGGAAATAGTATTTCAAACGAGATCACATTCCTAGAAAACATGAAAAAACCCTGCACAGCAGAGAGATCTAAAATGCAGTGTTTCTTTACTTCCACTGCTTTACAACAAAAATACCAGACAACCTGTATGAGCCATCAGAGATAATCTCTGCTTATGATGCCATCTCTAAACCTTTCCTTTACCTATTAAATTAAATTGAAAGGGACCGATAGAAACATTATTCTTCTAATAAAATACACTTTTCTGTTAATGCAACTGCTGCCAGGAAGTTATGCACTTGCAAATAGGAGTCATTCATTTTGAACAGAAGACAAGAAATCCATGAAAAATGATCTTCTGACACAAGTCTGACAGTTCTTACACAGTAAGAAAACTGATTTCATATATTTGCATTGTTTGCAGTGTATGCTTCTAAAACGCTAGAGAAAGACTAGGACTAGTCCAGAGGACATCAAATCTTACTACAGAACTCTCAAAAAAACTTGTTCCCAGTTGCTTAAATCCTGAAAGCACAACTTGGATTTTACTCACATTGCATTTTGCCCCCACCCAGGGCAAAGATACACTTGAACACTCACAAACCTGAGAGGCTATGCATATAGGTATTTCCTACCCTATTTTTTCTGAAGATCAAGAGCAATGCTTTATGACTTATCAAGAGCTGGTATTGTGAATTGATAGTGTTTCATTAGATTAGTTATCCTCATGTCAATGGGTGCCATCAGCTTACAGAAAGCATAGCAGCAATTATGTGTAGCTTCATCATTTCCAATCATGAGTATCAGAAATATTATTTCAATTTTGACTTGCCAGAAAAAGGAAACCTCTGTTTTCACAACCGGTGTGCACAAGAATTATCAATATAGCATCTATAAAATCCCTTTACAACTGTGGAAGCCACTCTTAACAGGTTTGGCAGCATTGCAAGACGTCCCACTTCCTGAATATAGCTACTGCGTCAGTCTGCAGCACTTCCTATGCTCCTGTGGCATTCCCTGGTGTTCTGCCTCAGCAGGTTTATTGCAGGATGCATGGTTTGGCCAGAGATTCAATTAAACGTTTGAGTCCATTAGGAAATCTCTATTTTGTCCCGCTCAGTGTGCCACGCTGTTATGTCGGAATGCGGTAGTGAATCCTGGTCTCTTGATTCCCACAGCGGCACAGTCCTGACTGCTATAAGTAGAGTTTGCTTGGTTTTTGCCATAGCCTCTCCCCAGCTCTCTCCAAGCTCACGTGGAAGAAGCATGTGATTGCTCTGTGCTCACAAGAGTGACAATTTATGAGATGCTGCTAATGCAGTGGTCTGTAGTGGTTTTAAAAAAGGAAGTACGGATTTCAGGAGTGGAACAGACAGCAGAGACTCAGAAGCAGCTCTTGGAAAGATGAATTAATAAAAGCTCTGCCTTAAAACCGATAGGCATGCGAATCACCAACAGATTGTCAGTGTACACACAGCCACCCTGTAACTGCAGTCCTCATGGAAAGACAGATCTACCAGAGCACTATCCAGACTCCATCATTCTTCTTTTAGAAAAGCTTACCCACAACTCAAGAGTTTTAGATGAGCGTTTGTTTGGGACTTCCAACTTCAGTGTGACATTTTAGTTCTGTTCCACACCTGTGGAAAATTGTTATTTCCTTTTCTGTTGTTTTGACTAATAATAAGCAAAACTAAATTAAAGGCTGTTTCAGCCTCTGACATGTCAAAGAGGTGAACAAAACCCTCTAATGATTAGCAACTTGCTGTTGGGCATCATTACTGTATCTGCTGGGTTAGTGATTAATTAACTTCCATATGTCGTTTGCATTTTCTACAGCTTCAGGCTATTTCTGTCCCTAGCACCCACTTAAACAATCTAATTTAGCAATTCATAATTTAAAATTCAGGTGTTTCAAGGAATTCCCTGAAATGTTGTAATTTCATGGAGATTAATGCAGGGACTGAATGAACCTTACAAACTGGCTATTGAGAAAGAAATAATTATCTTAGCCCCACCCAAAGCAGGTTGAAGAATTATCCCCACTATTACAACCCACACTGTGTTGATACGCTGTCAATTGCTATCTACGTGTTTGCTGCTGGCAGTTTGTGGAAGTGCTGTGATACAAGTTCCCCGAACAGAGCCCCACGCTCAAGGCACCTGAGCTGCATGCAGGCCACTGAAACGCTTCAGTGGGGATTTCAGTTCTGTGCAGAGCCGGGATCACTACGCACTTCGTGGCACTGTTTAGGATTGCACCCTTTTGTTTAAGGTTCTGGGTGGTTCATACCAACTTGGAGGAAGAAATCCAACTGAAACAGAGTTAGGGAAGCAGGAAAAAATGGGTCCCAAAGGGTGACTGGGTTCACTGCTCACCTGAGTAAACTGCTCCAAGGGGGCACAAAATACCGTGTCATTTAATCTGCTTCTAAATAAATCCATTAGGGAGGGGAAAAAGAATCATCTTCTGTTTACTCCAAAAGAGTAAAATTCGGCCTGATTGCAGCTGTAAATATAACTATATCCAAGCATTTATCTTCAAAATAGTTCTTTTTCCCATTTCTAAATAACGAAGCAACTCTATCGTGTGCTTCTGTTTTCCCAACTGCTTTGAAATGACAAAATATTTGCCCATTTTATTCAGTGTGGTGGACTGACTACCCTAGTTGCCTAACAGAGAATGACTGGGGGTAAACTCTAGTGCCTGAAGTCAGCGGAATTTTGGCTCTGAATTTACTGAAATCAGTCCTCGCTTAGAGATTTTCCTCTTTGTAAAATCCATTAGAGAGGGGAAAAAGAATCATCTTCTGTTTACTCCAAAAGAGTAAAATTCGGCCTGATTGCAGCTGTAAATATAACTATATCCAAGCATTTATCTTCAAAATAGTTCTTTTTCCCATTCCAGGTCTTGCGTACGAAACCAACCTGTATCATACTCTCATACCAGTTTCATAAAGGAAGATTGTCTAATTAAAATAACAGCTAAAAGACTGCAAGCCAAGGGCCAGCTAAATGCCACTGATTGATTAATAACAAAAGCAGAACTCTGTAAAAAGGATTGTACTTGAACAGGCTTCAGGCATGCACTTGGGCAAAACAACCAAGTTTCCATTTAGCAGGTGTCAGATAAAGTGTAACACAATTGGAAGCAGGAGGAATTACATCATTTAAACACCTGGTTCGGCCCACTTCAGTTCCTATTCAGTGCACATGAATGTGTAAGGATCAGACACAAACCCTTTCCCCTGGAAAGCTCAAATCAAAGAGAGTATCTGCTAAATGAAAGGTGGTGAAAAGATGAATGTGAAACTAAACATAGAAAATTTCCCGTATCTTCAGTTAAATATACAATTGTGGAAAAGACAGCCTGGAGCTTAATGTTTTTCACATCAGGAAAAGAGAGCTATGCGTTTTTAACATTAAAAAGTGAGCAGCTGTTCAAGGATAAGTAAAGGGTGCCCAAGGTATTTCCGTTTTGTGCAGACTATCTGATTGCTTCCAAGACTTAAAAAGCTTTTAAACAGGTAGCACTCTTTTTTGGTTCCTGCAAACAAATAATAAGAAAAACCACTTTGCAGGTATCAATGGAAGGCCTAAATGAAAGCTTTTGCTTTTTTTTCTGGAGGGCCAAAATTATGCATGGTGTAGTGTTTTAGAAGTGTGTGTTTTAGAAGACTTCAGTCTATATGAAATATAAAACAGTGGCAGAACTTTGGAGACATTGCAAGGTACCATCTTAAGGTTTGGTTCATGCTCCAGTTCAACATTTAGGATGAGAAAGATATCCTGGATCTCCTCCTCCAAAGTGAGCAGGAGGATACAGAGAAGGAAAAGCTACTACAAAGACACCATTCAAATTGTTCCAGCATTTGTGTGTTAAATGCACACCACATACAGTGATATGTCTATCAGACATAAATACATGTTCTTAACAACAAGTTGAGAAGTGAAAATGCTGCATCACAAACTGCCTACTTACCTTGTAGAATATCAGCAAAAGATCATCTAGGTTTCCATGCAAATCTCCTACAGCAAACAGAAACATGATGTTATCTCTTTTTTTGTTATTATTTCTTACAGAGGAGGAAATAAGATGGAATTATAAAAGTGGAATCAGTTACTCCTAACAAGTTTGTCCCCGTATTTTTCTTAGTAATTTGCCTTATATTAAGATTAGCTTCATTTTAAGGTACATGCTGAAACTGCTTGTAAAACCTGGCAATTAAATACTTAAAAGAGTATACATTGTCTTGCAGGAAGTTTTTGTCTTTCCAGCTGGATCTGAAGATCAGACCAGTCACACAGCCAAAGGTTCACTCAGGGAAATGCAAGCAAGGCTGTCTGGGCTGCCAGTGCACGCTGCTGGTTCATGTCCAGCTTTTCATCCACCAGTACCCCCAAGTCCTTCTCCTCAGAGCTGCTCTCTATCCACTCTCCACCCAGCCTGTACTTGTGCTCAGGATTGCCCCAACCCAGGTGCAGGACCTTGCACTTGGCCTTGTTGAACTCCATGAGGTGGGCAGCGGTCCACCTCTGCAGCCTGTCCAGGTCCCTCTGGATGGCATCCCTTCCCTCCAGCGTGTCGACCGCGCCACACAGCTTGGTGTCGTCGGCAAACTTGCTGAGGGTGCACTCAATGCCGTCATCCATGTCACCGACAAAGATGTTAAACAGCACAGGTCCTAACACCGACCCTGAGGAATGCATCTCGTTATGGGTCTCCACTCAGACATTGAGCCGTTGACCACCATGCTCTGAGTGCAACCATCCAGCCAGTTCTTTATCTACTGAACGGTTCATCTGTCAAATCCACACCTCTCCAATTAAGAGAAAAAGATGTCATGTGGGACGGTGTCGAACGCTTTGCACAAGTCCAGGTAGATGACATCTGTTGCCCATCCTCTGTCCACCAAGGTTGTAACCCCACCGTAGAAGGCCACCATATTCGTCAGGCACGATCTGCCCTTGGTGAAGCCATGCTGGCTGTCAATTCTCCATGTGCCTCAGCATGATTTTGAGGAGGATGTGCTCCATGACCTTGCCAGGCACAGAGGTGAGACTGACAGGCCTATAGCTCCCCATGTCCTCTTTTTTTCCATTATTGCTGTATAAACTTACTCCAGGCTTATTGGCTACTTTTTTTTATATATCCCCTGGCCACATCTATACAGGTAAACTAAATAGGGAGAC